GTAAAATAAGTTTACCTCCATAGATTGTTGCCGCTGTTTTTTTCCTCCCTTCCTTCCTTCCCATTTTGTGGTGCCAGGGGGGGAGTGGGGGGCAGGGGCCTACTGCCCCCCTGTCACGGGCATAAATTGATCTAGTTAACTCCGTGACAATATGAAAAATGAGGAAATATCATGCGAGCAGGATACACAGCACAATGTTTCATGAGCTTGTAAAGGAAAAATGAGGTTAAAGTTTAAGTTCAGCCTGGTCTAGCATTAGGTGGGAAGGTTGGTGGCCCTGCATGTGGCAGGGGGGTTGGAGATTCATGATCCTTGAGGTCCCTTCCAACCCTGGCAATTCTGTGATTCTGTGATTCAGTGTTGGGGTATGATGGAGGGGGTTTGTTTCCTGTGAGAAGCTCTACTGCTCAACGAGGGGTTGCAGCTCTGTCCCAGCAGGCACAATAGTGCTGGCAATTTGGAATAAATGTGCCTTATGGTCCTGTCCTTCTTTAAAGTGACATGAATTCCTATGCGTGACTTGTAGGCAGTTAGTCAAGTTTAGCCTCTAGGTTGGCTTTTGCTTTAATATCTGACCTACCAAATCTTTAAAGTTAGAGCTATCCAGTTCCATTTATCTATTGTAGTAGTTTTTTATGTTTGGACTCATCACCTTATCCCAATCTATAACTAATAGATTGTGTTGGGTGATGCATCTCCCAGGTTTCTTAACAACACCCTAACGGGACAGGATTTCATTGAAGTGATGCATTATTCTAGCATATAAAGTAATTTATCTTGCCTTGCACCTCCATGAGGCTCTGTTACAGAAAGAATTACAAAGCAAAACTTCCATCTTTGGCTTCCCTGTAGGGATTACTAGAATCAGATATTTTCACAACATTTGCAATTGAATAAGAAATGTTCTTGGAAAGATCCAAAGAGTGCTGGTCCAGATTCATTTTCAGAGCTCGGATGGACCTCTGACACTGCCTCCTTTTCCTCTTCATCATGTTATGAGCTTAAAATGTGGGCTGGAAAGCAGGGAACCAAAAGGAAAGCTTCTGCTGCTGTCCTATCCAGCTACCCAATCACCTATGTGATGTCACCTGTGGCTTCTGCCCACCTGAAAGTTTCTTGTGTCTCCTGCTGAGCACATGAGCATTGGTGGTTACCTGCCACTCAACCCAATGGAACTGTACAAAGGCATGTTGAGCTGTGGGAATGTTTACCCATGATCTGAAGCAGTCCAAACTAGTGTGTGCCTTGGTTTACATGGTGAAATGGGCTGATGATCTGGTATGACACACCCCTCCCTTTGCTTTGGCTGAGAAGTCACTGCAATGTACTTCCAGTCAGATATGACATTCCCCTGGCAGAGCACACAAGTGGGACATGAGAAAGTTGAACTTTAACATATTTTAATGTTGTTTAGAATACAGATCTCACAAAATCTCTTCTTTAATTAACTTTGCTTGCATAGATAATTCATTTCACCAGCATTCTATGCCACAGGATGCTTCTTCCCGTGCACAGAGATAATGGGCTCTCTTTCTATTTCTGCCTGAAGCAGAATTGAAGTAGGAAGGGAAGTGTTCGGTAGCACTTTTATCCTTCAGAGTACTTTTTCTTCTGTGCACACATGCAACATATTTTGAGATCATAGCTCTCCTATTTCCTAAGGGATGAAGAAGAAAAAACAGGGCAGCCTTAGAGAAAAACAAAAAATCTTGGAAGAACATAAAAGCCTTGTGTTCATTACAGCTTGCCTTGAAGAATTCATCTGACATTTCTCTGAAAACTGAGTTATCAGAAGCAATAATTTGCTCTGCATTATCTACTATCTCAATTCAAAAGCAGTTCTGAAGAGGTGCCATTTGAATTCACACAGGAAGCCAGATCTCTTGATAGATGATTTACTTGTTTACTTTACCAGGCACCTGGTGCAGTAGGAAGAAAGAGAGAAGCTTCTGGTTATTTCTCTTACGATTGCCTGATTTAGGGACAAATACACAAAGACATGGTGCCCAGAGGTGAAGTTGCAAGCGTCCAGGTCCAGTCACGCAGAAGAAGGGAGATCACAAGAAGAGACACGCAGCCTGTCTGCATGATGGGGAAAGTGAGAAATGGAGCTGGACACCACCAGCTGGTGCCTACACATAGAGAGGCAGTGTGCTCTCTCCTGGTTCTTTCCAGGCTCCAAATGTCCAGATTTAAGTTATTCTGCAGCAAATGGCTGTGGTCTCAAACTGGACTTAGTTCTTCACTCCTGTGTTATTCGCACTGCCCTCAGCCCCGTGTTTTAAAGCCAAACCTTTAAAACCGTCAAGGCTGCTTATGAACAGGAGTGACTTAGGGCACTCAGCGCATCGATCTGATGGAAGTTAGCAGGCAGCTCAGCCTGGTAACCTTTACTGTTTTGCCAGTAAGCCTGGTGTAGGGAACCTGCTTTGGCAGGGGGGTTGGACTCGATGATCTCTGGAGGTCCCTTCCAACCCCTACGATTCTGTGATTCTGTGAAAGGCCCCTCCCATGCTGGCTTTTTCAGTCCATATCAAGCTGTGTGAATAACTTGTTCCCTGTTTGCCACTTCACATCACTGCTGTTCTAACTGGTATGCAGCCCTGACTGGAGCTTCTCCTGCACCCTGTCAGGATGCAAACACAGAATGTGGTATTAAAGCCCAGAGAAGCTCAACTGAAGTATTCAGAGGAATAACCTCTGCTTCAGCAGTGTGGCTTTCCATTCATGCCAAGGCAACAACGCTTTTAAATTCTCATGCCCTCATTGTTTCTGACATCAGAAACACTGGCTGCAAACTTTCAGCCAATATGCCTGAGGGAAAAATAAAAGCCAAAAAAAAAGGCAAAATGTTCACACTGTAAACTTCCCCATGGAAAGATCCTTCCTTTGTTTGTCCTTAGATGCCCGCAAAGGCAATGCAGTATCGGTTTTTATTCCATGCTGGCAGTTATTGCTTCTGTATTGGTAAGTGTAAAACAAGCATCCAGAAGGCAAAGGTCTTTGCAGATTGGGAGTATAAAACAAGTTTGTTTGGTTGGTTTTTTTCATCTTAAAAACAGGAACAACTGCAATATCTGAGCAACACCGAGCATCTTGCATTTTACAGCTTTTCAAACTTAAGAATTATTGCTGAATATTAATCCATTTCAGTGCCGGGGGCAGCAGAAATTGGTGAGGGGCAACACTGCTTGCTAAGCAAAGGAGCAAATTGTAAGGACAAAAATGAAAGGACAAAAAGCAAAGAAAATAGCTCCCTGTGTGGGATCAGGTTTTTATTTCTCATGGGTTCTTGTAAGGCCAGTGAATTGTTGGCAGTAATCAACTTTCAGCTTTTTCCACTTCAAGAAAAGGTAAATCCAGCACATGCACAGAGCAGTATGGGATCTCAGGAAGAGAAACTTTGATTGCCAGCGTATGAATTACCTGGGAATGTTCATGTTTTCTTCGTTTGATTTATTTACTTCAACGAGCTGCCACCACCTGCTGAACCTCTTCAAATTGATTTCACTCCACCCCAGCAGCAGGGCATTTACGTTGGGATGAATCACTTCCACCTTCTCTTGATGCAGCCTACTGATGTACAGCCAAATGTCTTTTCTTCTCCCCGGTTGCAAAATAGGAGCTGTTCCCAGTAATTTATTATCAAATCTGATTGAATTGGAGGTAGCACATCCTCATCTTGTCACAAAAAGGCTGATACTACAGGTTTGTATGTTTTCCTTCTTCATGTCTCCTCTGTCATCTCTTGCTTGGCACACTGCCTGGAAAGCACAAGCGACTGGTGATACAGGACAGCTTGCCAAGGAGACAAAACTCCTTCTGACAAACAATACCAAAAAGAGTATTGGTCTTTTTAAAGCGGTCTCCCCTCTCTCTGGGTGAAATTGGTAGCTCACAATCCCTTATATTTGAGTATATGTGTTTCCCCCATTGTCAAACCTGCTGTTGCTTTGTGTGTTACTTTGGAACTCAGAATAATCAGTATTGCAAATATTTGTTGAAGTGGCAATGCTGCTTTGGGTCCTGAGCATTCCAGGCTTTATTTGTCTGACTGGGAGCACGCTGCTAATGTGGATGCTGTCCATTTTAGACATGGGAAATGGGGCCCAAATCCTCCAGAGGTGTAACTTCCAGCTGATAAAAAAAAAATCATTCCTGTACAGTTACGTCCTACACTGTAGGAAATCTGTATGAACATCTGAAACTTGGGCTCTAGGAACCATTTATTTGTTTGCTGTCATGGTACACCCCATGTTTTGCTGCCTGATTTGAAAAGAAGTTCTATTATAAATCAGAACATCTACAGAAACGACTTAGCCCACAGACTGATAAAAAATGATTAAGCAGAAAAACGACAAAGCAAGTATGAAAGATATCATCTTGACATTCTCAAAGCAGCAGGTAGATAGAATAATAATGGCCTGCTGTTTCTCTTGCAACAGCAGCTGAAGTAAGTTCCAGGTTCCTGTTTACACAGAAGAAATGGGATCATACACACGCGAACACAGACATGGTGCTGGGTAAGTAATAAGATTAGCTAGTATCTGCTCCTGTAGTCATTAATGGTCAGCAGTTAAGAAGCAAGAAACTAAAAAAAAAGAAAAAAATATATATTTAAAAAAGAGAGAGAGATTAATGCATTCTGTTGGCTGAGATTTTCTGTCTGCTCTTTTAGGTCATCTCTCTACTCGCACTGCTCTGTTACATGTGTTGCTGCACACTGGTAGGTGCTTAGCTGCCTACATGCTGAGTTCTCTGTACCTTTCGGCAGACAGCAACAAAAGCAAACTTCCAATGGTTTGCCAAACCATACATCCAGTAACACAAGGAAAGCTCTGCAGAGCTAAAGTAATTTAGAGGCACCGGGCACAGAATGACCAAAGCAAGCTGAAACTGGTGAGATCAGCACAACTTCAGGTCTGTACACAACCCAAATGTTCCACCAGTAGAGTTGAAAAACTTGCACAGTGTTAAGAGCTCTGCCAGTTCATCTATCATAGCTGCAATGTGGAAACCTTATCACCTCCCAAAAATGGTATTTGTGGATACCATATGTATAACACAAAGTAGCAGAGGCTCTTTATATAAAGCTTTTTTAATTGTCAGAAGGCTTCCCTTGTAGGGTTTGCTCTTAGAAGAATTGTTAAGTGTGGTGGTAAGACGTGCACAAAGACTGGAATTTGACTCAATCAGCTCCCCAGCTGTAATTTCTAGTGTCTGTTAAGCTGTATCTGAGGAAGATAGCTGAGGATACTTGAGCCACTGAACACTACTGGTAGAGAGAGGAATTTGGTAGGAAGCATGCCTGATAGCTGGATTTCAGTGGGCTACAGCTATCCTTGGTGTCCTATTGCCAGATGAGTAAGTCTACTATGGGACTGACTACTAGCTATCTTCCACTAGAGTTTATTGCTTTTTAGCATGCTCCCAACAGGCCCTCAGGGCTGCTGAACACTTCTCCTGAGAATGCTTCATCCAAAAGTTCCCCACGATTGCTCAATTCAAATGGCAAGTTTAGCCTTGGAAACACCAGAACTGCCAGCAACAGGTCTTTGCAAGGATTAAAAAGGGCAAGGCAGTTTTATTTCTATGAAATCTGACTGAAGATTGTCCAGAATTAGCATTCCAGAATTAGTTTGGGGTCAGGGTGTGATTGTTTCATTTGTGGGTCGTTTTTATATTTTTCATTACTGCCTTCAGAAACTGGGCCAAATTTCAAGAAGCCTCTTCTCTCAAGTTTGTTCTCACAAAGCAAGATCAACATGCCAAAAGTTTGTCTTTTTGCAGTCAAAAGAAGAAAAAAAAAAAAAAAAAAAAATCAGCCAAGCAAGCCTTTGACTGCTGTGCTAGCTAGCTTAGAAAATTAATCTAGTCTACAATAGACAACAGAAAACTAATCCATTTCAGAAGGGACAGAGCACTTCCAAATTTTGGTTGATCCATTAGAAAAGTAGTTTTCATACTCTAAGGAAATCTGACCATTAAAGAAACACCCAGAGAACTGGCAGTTCTATCACAAAGGTTGCAACAGAAGCTCAGAAACACTTCTAAGTATCTTTGGTAGACTTCAAATAGATCAAAAAGAGAACTAACAAATGCCTATTAGGTTTTTTTTGTTTTTTTTTTTTTTTTCCTGTGTAAGTAGTAACCAAAGGAAGTCTAGAGCTACTCTGAGCACAGCAAAGACTCAACACCTGAACCCAATATTAGCAAAAAAGAAAGAAAGAAAAACAGTCTAGGATACATGAAGAACAGGCATATCTGCAACAGGACTCAATTCTGTTTACTCTGTGCGTTAGACAAAAATACCTAAATGAAATTAAATGGTCTTGTTTAGATGTGGTGACTATAACACAAGGCCTGATAGAACAGGTTCTGATCTATAGCAGCTGATTCAGCTTCATAGAAGGGGAGAAAAATACTGCCTTTACCTTGTATGTGCAGCCTGATTTAATTCCAAATGGCATCCCAACTACATGAAATGTTTCACATGCACAAGGGAGACAAAGTATAGAAAAGTCTGTTTAAAAACAAATACATCCTACAATTTGGAAGTCGATTACATGTTTTAATTGATCAATTTTCTGACATGGAGAGATCACTACAATAATTTAAAGAGGTTTTAGGAAGGAGCATGTGACATGAACGCGATGGACGTAGCGACCAAAAGTCAAGATACTAGTAGTCTGTGCAAAACAAAACTATTCAATAAAAGCAGGCAAGCAAATACTGCAAGTAACCCGTGATGAGAAATTTGCTTTGAGACAACCATTCATTTTTTGAGTTAAAAAAAATAATCAAAAAAGGACTAGCATCACTGATCTGTATTGTTGAAGACCTTTGTAGACACAAAGTCAACAGAACTGAGAAGATAAGACATCGGATAGCCTCATGAAGTTATAGCAGAAATGTTTCAGAGATTACCTTTCTTACTACGTGTCTTCCATGGTAATGCTCATACAGCAATTCCATGCACAATTACTTTTGATACTCTTTTTTGTGCAGAAATAATATTTAAAAAGCTAAGTTAGTGTTTATGACAGATTTAATAGGGATTAAGCACTGCAGAGCTGACTGAAGTGTCACCATAGTCGTATCTTTCTCTTCAGAGTGTAACATAGTGGTAATGGATTTGCTGTACGAGTATACAAGATGAACCACGCAATCATGTTGATAACACTGATTAAGTGCTCTAGTTTGTATTTGCAGTGATTAATTTCATAGGAAAGCATCCTAATAATAGATATTCAGGCTGAGCTCTGCTATTACACAACAGGACAGTAAACTGGCTGGTAGGAGGCTTGTTATCTTGCTGAGAAATAATGACAAATACCAATCAGTACTGGAGTCGTTCCATCTCTACATCCAAACAATCTTTTAAAAAAAGTACATCCTGGTTGTGCTGTTTCCACAGAGAAACCTGGAAAGTCTTCAGCCTATCCAAAGGCTAATCAGGTAATTAGTGCTCTAGTCTAACGCTTTGAAAATGTCTTTTAAATACTTCTGCCTAACATACAGTAAACTAAATCAGCTAAAAGGACTCTAATCTTACTTGTACAAGTCTACAGATCTGCCCCCCTTTTTCAATAAAAAAGGGTAGATAATCATTTAAACACTCAATATGTACAAATAAATCTTATTAGTCAGTATTTATAACTTACTTTCTATCACAGGATCTTAAATGTAACCACAGTGGTATTGCAGTGCCTCGTAAGGCCTCCTGCAGAATTTAATACAACTATTAGAACTCAGACCTTATTCCTTACATGACTTTTGTCCCATTTTCCACTGTTGTCTGTATTACTTTTTTCTTTAATTCATTCCTTCATGGACTTGGATTCTTCCACCCCTTATTTAGATACTAGGCAAGAATGGCTTTCCAAGGACATTATGAATACCTCTGAACCACTAAAGATTCAACAGTGTAGGCCATGAATAATTTTGTTTAGTTCAAACACAACATGAAACCTCAGAGCCTGTTCCAACCGTCAATTTTATTTGAAAGGTGTCTTCTATACAATTTTATATATAGAAATAAATATGAAAGGCCTATACAAATATGAACACTTAAAGAGTACCAATACTGTCCTTCATTTGTCATACTCATCTTTCAATACTTAAAGGGACAAAAATTGCATCAAACATCCAACATTTAGCAAAACAAATTTTTACAAAGTCTCTGATCACAAAAGGTACACTCATTCATACTGAAATCTTTTTGTCTGACTTTTCTTTTAAAAGTACACACAACCTCAATGTTTAGTTTTGTTCAGCTGCCTTTGAGAATTTCACAACATAGAAAAACATTTTCTTCAAGACAGACATTAAAAATAAAGTCATAGCTATGTTTCACCCCAACGCAGTGTCTTGGCATTATCAGTTCTAATGATACACAGTGTTAACACTATGTTTTTGAAATAAATTCTTCTAAAGTTGAAGGATAATCTTGCCTTTAAATAAAATCTAAATCATTTTCAGAGCTTCAGGATGGCATTTGCTTTAATATAACGTGATTCTTCCCCAAGCTTCAAAAAACTTAATTCAGTACCACACAAAAGGCTTTGGTATCAAGTAACATTATAAAACAAGTAATCTTTTGGGGTTTTTCAAATCATAGACTCTAAGAATATCACTTCATACTGTGATATTATTCTAATGTAGGCTATCATCCACATGCAGTTACGTAATCCCACTGTTGTTCAGTTTAAGGAGAGTAAACCAGAGCATGTGCTCAAGTTCTTAGGGGAATAGATATTAATTTGAATACAAGTGCTTTAAAAAAAAAAAAAAAAGTTGGGTTTTTTGTTCATTTGTTTTTTGTTTGTTTGTTTTTAAGAAAAAGTCAAAACCCAACACTATTGAAAAGAGACCACAAAATTAAAGAAAAATCTTTTTTGGCTTTCTTTAAGGAACTTGTCCTCATCCCCAAAATAAAACATTCTCAGTTACTAATTTAAGGACTGTAGATTATGCTTACTGCCAATCAGAGGAAACATTTCAGACATTTTCTATCTCGACAGTAAAAATGTAGGTTTTAGTTCAAGAAAAAAAAAGTAATTTACTGTAAGTGCACAAAAGTCCAATTCTACAACTCATTCCTGTTCATTTAATTATTTTTACTTAATCAAAGCATACAGGTTCCCTCTCAAGTCTGATTTAATAACTTATATAAAAAGTATGTTTGAAAAATATGGAGGTTTAACAGATAACATATATAGTATATTATATATACTATATTATATATGTGTGCGTGCACCTTGTGTTTCAAAGAATTATCACCTTTTAAAGGAGCATTGTATTCATTCTTAGTTTCCTTTACAATAAAGCATTCTGAGTTTGTGTTACTGAAAATTAATTCATTTCCATTTCTTAAAGTGTACGTACTTGGTCCATTTGTTCAAAGGAGAACCTGAAGATTTAGAATCACCGAGTATTCAGTCACTGACAGCACTACACGTGAAGGTAAACATCCATTATGGATCAGCTTGAAACAGTGGCCTCACAAGGTGGTGATTCACTCTACACACCAGAGTGGTTTCTGTAACAAATCTGCTTTGTTCACTACAGTTCTCTCACTCTCTACTCATGCAAATACTTTCTGAGCAAACCAAGTAAAATGAAACATTTTCCATCTCAGGTTTTACAGGCAGCTAGTGGTTCTGCAGACCACTGAAAGTTAACTGCTTCTGTCAGCAACAGATTTTTGAGCAGCATGGAAGTAACAACCTGAAGAAAGATTTTACTGATGAAAACAGCTGCAGTCAACCTGGCCTATAAATATATAAGAGCTAGTTGCAGTGGTAATGATTAAAACAGTGAAACTTTAGCTCTATAGTGGATCTAACATCCAGGTTAAGCAGCAACTATGCAATTGGGGGAGGGGGGTGAAAAGAAATAGAAGGAAAAAAAGAAAGACAAGAAAATGAACATATAAAAATGTGCAGCATCATTTTTGCATAAACATTTTCAATGTAGGAATGCACTTGTCAAAAGTTAAGTCTACCTAATTAGGGATTACTTAAAGCTTGTGTTTTTCAAGTCTGATACTGGACAGGGGAAAAGTGTCTCATCTTAAAATATACAACAGCATCATTAGGACAGCATTTCAAAACTATTATTGGAAGAATAAGTTATTAATATGACTTTAAGAATATCATAACCAAATAGTAGCTTACTCAGAAGACCTTAGTCTTCTTTCTGTCGTGTTTGAAATCGTTCCATTAAAGCCCTCAGTATATTTCCTGGTATTTTCTGATGTTTGGCTATTAGAGCCTGGAGTGCTGCATTTGTCTGCAAGGAAAGAGAAAAGTTTGGGGTCAACTTTACATTGTTCATGTATTAACATAATTTCTAGGATCTTTTCATCTTTATATTGGTGAACTTCTGCAAGTAGACAACACTATTTTTCAGTGTTATTTCAGCCCACGTGATGTGTCTGTGGGATTATTGCTAGGAAACAAACCAGAAAACAATTAACTTTTATCTCTGGTAGCTGTGTTCACAAGCTCTATTAGTGATACGCAATAGTAAAATGATGATGAAGTAAACTATCAAAGAGATCTAGATCTATAATGCATGTCAGTATCAGTATACTACTACAACCTGAAACTGCTGTTTATGCCCAGGTTTGCATCAGTAATACTCTTTCAGTATGTAGGAACCTTGTTTCTACACTAACTCAGAAGCAGCACTGGAAACACAACTGTGTCCTGGCTGCATGCAAGTCCCCTGAAGTAGCCGGTCCAGTAAAGTATGCTTAGATCACAGCTAAAATATTGCACATCCACGGTACTTCCACTCAGAAATGTTGCAGGCCAAGAAGTTAATAGCAGCCATTCTGTTATATAATAGCTCTGTGGGGAACACTGAAAAACAGAGCAATAAGTAAAAATTAGGGTGAGGTAACAGTAACTTTTCTGTTTTGCCTACAGGAGCACAGACTGTTAAACTCTTAAGGCCAGAGATACAACAGCGACCTACTTGCTTTGGAAAACCAGCATTCAACAAGGAGAAAAGTGATCCTTGCTACAGGTTCAAAAGTAAAGCATGGCAGCAAGTGATTCAAACACCTTCCTCCTGCAAACCAGCACTTCTCTAAGAGGCTCTGTCAGACTGAACTCCCAAAAGATGCACTCAGTTCTCCATAGACAAGGCAATGCAGACATTACAGATTTCATTTTGCAGAGATCTAATCAGAGGATAAGCAGGTGATGACAGACAATTGACTCGATACTTGCGTGGTCAAAAATAAAAATCCCTCTCTCTTGGGTGAAGTTTTCAGAATGAAAAAAAAAATGACCTTCTGTGAAGCTTTCAAACACGGTTGTTTTGGCTGCCTCAATCTGACTGCTCCACACCCACACTTACCTGACTTGTATCTCTGTGCTGTGAAATCCACTGATAAGCTGAATGAATATGAGGACCTCACAATTAACTCAACAAACTACCTAAATCTGAAGAAAGTGAACGTTCTAAAATAAATTAGTTGGGAGAGAAGTTGGAGGAAATGGAAATCGAAACAGACTTTCAAAACCATGAAATCACATGGCTTTTATTGTTTTGTGTGTTTTTTTTTTTTGTTTTTTTTTTAATGGAATATCAGGCCACAGATTTGCTATAGTTGAAAGACTTCACTGGTAACTTTTTAAATAATCTAGAAACACTTTCCCTGGGTGAACTGAACATGATGTGTTTTTTTAAACCAGCCCAGGGTACTCTTAGGTGGCTGAACTTCCTTCATCTCTAAAGCAAGATGATTCTTGAAGCACATAAAGAGTACAGGATTGACATTAAAAGGCCTAGAACATTTGCAAGATGTAGTAATAAAAAACAGCACTGAAGAGGGGCACTGGAAGTTAAGCAAGTCTAAAGTTTAGTACAATTCTATTGATTTCAACTACCTCCATGGCAGAAATCATTATCCTGACAAGAATATTTTAGTGTTTTTGATCAGAATAGTCAATATTTAAAATATATATTTCCACATATATCCATCTTACCTTCGCAGCCAGTTCCTCAGCAGTTATATTTGGATCATATGGAATGGGTTCTCCAATAAACGTACGAAACTTGACTGGAAACCAGCCATACATAGGAACTATTGGCAATTTCATACGTTCATACAGCTTCCTAAATATTTCTAAGGTTAAAAAAAAATAGGGAGGATGGGAGGGAAAAGAGAACAAAAGGAGTAGGGGAGAAATAAAGGGAAGAAAGGGGAAAAAAGAGACTGAGATTACTCTGCAATTTTTTTTCCATCATATTTTAAAACTGAAACTGACTTGTTGAGTAATCCAGCCCATGACCCAGAATCTCAAGCATGTCATCTAAAGTACTGTCCTACTCTTGGCTTTCATTTCCCAAAGGCTGCATTAACACTAACAAAAGATGTGCTTCTAAACTCACTTAGAGTGAAACATCTTCCCCCCAAAGAATAGCTGCAAAGAGATCAAAGCAGAGGAAAACTCAGTAGCTCCGTAGGGAAGTAGCTGGGAATACTACCCAAGACAGGTTACCACTTAGCTAACTTTACAGGTTAGCCCACCAAACTGTTATTAGTGCAAGACTGTTTTGTTCAGTCCCACTGAGGTCTAAAGGATCAGAAGTCTTATGTACCAAAAAGGCAGTCATGCTAAATACTGAATTGCTCTTTGAGATCACGCACTGGTTAGAGTGAAACACTACACGAAGAGGAAAAGAAAACAAACAGAAGAAAAACTGGTGTTTCCATCAGCTTTACAAGAGTAGTTCTTCCTCATATCACTTCCTAGGCATCTATCCTAAATGCTACCAGAACAGCATTCTTGTAAAATGGGTGCTAATTTTCCCTTATATTAAAACGATAAGATCTTAGTGATTGAAATGTCAATTATTCTGTACACAACCTAAAAAAAACCAAAGAATATTCCAAAACTATTGAAACCAAAGTAACGTCTCCAGCAATCAACAGAATTAAATTCCTCTAGCACTTCAGCTATAGAATAAAAGTAGCATCTATCTTTCCAGCTTAAGCCTCTTCCAGTTTGGGAAGATTCTCCTGAAAACAGTAACAACGCTCTTAATTTTTGTAGAACATCATAAAGAATGTGTGAATCATTCTGCATGCCTATATTTGACGTCTGGGATTTCTCCATCCAGTATTCAGCTTTTAATTAGAGAGGATGAGAAATGGAATTGTTTTGTCCTGCAGATCTTTGATGAAAATGATGAAACAGAACATGCTGCATGGAGGAGACTATTCAGGCTCTTTCTGATAGCAAGCTGGAAGACACACACACACAAAACAGAATGAGGGCAAGGGAAGAGCTAGCACTGTCAGATCAGCAGAGATGCAGACATAATCATCCCAGAGGTGGGCTCTTCAGACATATACCAATCTATTAGTGTACCAGAACTCCCAAAAAGGATGAGGAAGGAGCAAGCAAACTCAAGTTCAGTGCAGAACTACAGATTTAGTGCTGCACTGTATAACAACTATGGATGAAATAGGTTTCCAAATGTTATGAAATTTAAGTGTAAGCACAGAGCTTTAAGAGGTTATTTAAAGGAAATGTCAACTGCAAACCTTTGCTTCTTAACAGCAGAAAACTTAGAGTACGTCTAGCATTTATCAGCAGAGCAAAACAATATTTTAAACCTATCTGCCTTATTCTGGCTAGTTTTTTTCCTTTCTTCTACTTCTTTGGGAAAGCACATTGTCACATTGAGAGTGACTGAGATGAGCTAATACCACACTTAGCACTGACACTAAATCCTAGTCATGTCCCTGAATTGCATTAGCAAGTAAACCTCAAGAAATAAGGCTTTGTCAATTCTCAAATCTAGATGGGATTATTTCTACAAAGATAGGCTAAACACATATGGAAAAATAAACTACAAAAAAAAAAGATAAAATATCTTACTTATTCCTCCTAATGTCCTAATGCCTTCTCGAACATTTTGTGTAAACATAGGAATGATGGGCTAGGAGGGAAAAAACATGAATTTAATGAAGATAATACTATCTGAAAAACTGCTACCTAGCTTAAACCCAACATACAAATTAATTTTCAAGTGTTTGTCAGACAAGGACATACAGAGAGCAAAATAAGGATTCATTAAGTTCTTCTGCCACCTTCTGCCATGAAGTTTCAGTCTGGAGAACACTGTAAGGTTTCAGCATGTCCATATTCTGAAAGCAGTACAGAACTTCAGAACTTATGGAGCATTTAAGCCTCCTCTTGTCTAGAAGTACTTGCACATTTGTGAATCCAGTGGTTAGATTCTTGCCTAATTTGTAGTTATGCTTAAAGAATTCACAAGCCTGGGACCCTAAACTTGTCTGATTCATCTCTACTGCACTGACTATTGCTTTACACACGATGTGTCATATTCAGTACAGGCTCATGATTCATTTCTGCTGATGAACTTTTGGAACAGCGTTATTATTTCAAGCTTTTATTACTGTTTTTGAACTTGCAAACAGCTGTCAAGATTTGCAAGAACAAGGTGAGGGGGAAGGTTATACTACATGTATTTTTTTTCAACATCAATTTATAACAAATGATCAAAACATAAAATGCTAAGATTTTCATGCATCCACACTCTTTTAAGCTTTAAAAAAAACATATAGAAATGAGACTTTTCATACAGGCATCAAGATGTTTTAAAAAAAGAAGTTTGTAAATAATCCAGTGCAGCTGTAGAGAATTAAAGAAGTGCAGCTGCCTAAACCAAATGGTAATAAAATTCCTTATTCCAGAACCATCATCTTTAGAACATCTTACTTAGAAGTTGGTTTAAATGACAATATTTCTGGTAAACAAACTGCTGAAATTAGACAATCTGAGGAAGTTGAAGGTCCCAGTACTAATGTTCAGACATTTTTCTTTCCATGAATAGTTATACTCGTGATTAAAGGTGACTTAAAGTTCCTCTTCAATCTAAATACAGATTTTTTTTTTTTATCAATTTCATTCTACTTCCAATACTATTCTGCACCTCTATGAAGTGGGGGAAAAATGAAGCTGCATGATCTTTATGAGTGCAGAAAGGAAACTGAACATACATTCAGTTATATAACTATAAGCAGTACAAGCATAGTTGAATTGCAGGTATGGAGTTTCGTATGCTATTACGAAGTTTTAGTAAAATCTGAATCTGTTGAAAATATCCTGCTTAAAATGCATTACATTCACCCTGGTTAAAAGTGAAACCCACTTAATTAGGTCTTAAAAATATTCTACTTGGGTATAAAATCCAGAGACTTAAGTAGACTGTCTTTGGCAGTGTTTAAGCACAAAACTTCTGGAGTGATACCAGTTCAAATTAGGTATATGCAAACCTACAGACATATGCATACATCTTTCAAGTATAAGTATAGAATGAGAGAGAATGAAAAGTGTTATTGAAACAGTTGCAGTTCAAATATATTATGTGTTTACGTGCATTCCATAGTTGGTACCATACGAATAATCGTGCCAGTGATCACACTTTATATGAGAAAGAACTGAAGAGGAAACAGTTCACACTAATAAGCAGCCTCTTCTGCTGCTGCTTTATGCTCTAAAGATCCCTCCCTAGCATAAAAATACCAATGCAGTACATAACAGTACTTCTCGTATGAGTACAACAACAGCAGAGGCAGGTCTGCTGATTTACAACCTATTTCAACAATAGGAGAAATAAAAATGCAATGTGTGGCTGCTTTCCAGTTATTCTGGTAAGAGGCTGAGGTGGAACAACCCCAACCAGGCAGGCACAAAACAAGTTCATAATCTAGAAATTGTCCTCGATTTCACCTCTTACTCTTTTAAACTATGGATTTCTTAACCACAGTATTCTTAGATGACTCCAAAACATTCTTATCAAATGGTACAAGTCATGAAATTTAGTTACAAAAGCAAGTAGACTGTATTCATGTCACTCAGCAATCTAACACCAAATATTTGATAATCAAAACTTTCTTCCCCTAGAAGAAAGAACAACAAGAAGTTAGCATTTTTTTGCTTCTCTTCCATGATACATCATACTTACCACTTTTGCATCAATGGCCACCTGGGCAAAGCCCTTTCGATTACCCCACAAAATAGCATATGTTTCATCACTGAAGAGTGCTTCTCGAACTCCACCTGGAGAAACAGCTAACAGACAGCCTTTCTTCAGAGCACTGACACATACTTCTTTTGGTCCATGCATAATGCCAAATACTTCAATAAACATTTTTAAACCTGCAGGGTAAGATCAATATTAACACAGAAAATGTTAATTCATACTACCATTGAGCACAAATTCCCAAGACAGAACACAGTGGCTAAAATTTGTCTAATAGCCTAATATCCCAAATCAAACATATTTCTAGAAGGACTGGCACAAAGTTTTGTTTGTAAATTTCAATTTAAGAAGTTGAAAATTTAGGTTTTCTGTCACGAAGTCAAATGCTGCCTCAAAAAAAGTCAGTAAAACACTGGAAGAAAAAAAAAATAGTCAAGTACTGCATGCCACATTCAGAGTTATTAAGTCTTCTGTGGTGTACCTTTTTTTTGCCCAAGCTTTACTTTTCAAGCAATGTGATACAGTCCTAATAGAGTTCAATAATAGAAAACATCAACAAATTATGGGTTTTTTTGTTTTGTTTACTTTAGCACGCAAGGAGCAGTCTGTGCACAAGGAGAATGATAAATGAAACATAGCTTTCTCTCTGTTCCAGAATGCTGCAGTTCAGTCTGTGAGCATCCAGGTGGCCTTTCACTACACAGAGGAACCTGAGGAGCCTGAATTGCACATATGCAATTAGATGAAGAGCTTACATTCACTGAAGTTTAAAACTGTAAAGTTACAAAAACTCATATCTTAAAATGTGAGATGTCATACTTACTCCACTTGTCAAGAAGCAGCAGAACATTGCTTACAGGTATCAGATTGACACATTTAGACAACTAGCTCAATTTAGGCAACTAATATAATGAAGAGGAGTTGCAAGATACCAATTATGTTCACTTAAATCAATGTATTTTAAACTTATGTAGCATTTGTGCACACTGCATACTGAAATGGGAACTTCAGGTCACTGAGCAACATGGGAAAGATTACTTCTCTTTCTTAAAGTTTCCCACAGAGCCAAAATTAACTCAGTCAGCCACAAAGGTAAAGAACTGATCTAGCCAAGTTTAAATCTCAAAAACAGATTATCAAGTGTTTTTACCCTCACATTAGCAAACGAATATTTATTATTATGAACACATACTTGTTATAGAATCATAGAATCACAAGTTTGGAAGCAACCTGCAAGATTATCTAGTCCAACCATCCTCCCATTACCATTCCTACCATATGCCTCTAAACCATATCTCGTAGCTCCTCATCCAGATGCCTCTTGAACACTGCCAGGAATGGCAACTCCACCACCTCTCTGGCAGGCCATTCCAGTGCCTGACCACTCTCAGAAAGAAAAAGTTCTTCCTTGTGTCTGATCTAAACCTCCTCTGGTACAATTTGCAGCCATTTTCTCAGGTCCTGTTTGTCACCTGGGAGGAGAGGCCAAACCCCTCCTCATCACAACCTCACTTCAGGAAGTTGTAGAGTGCAATAAGGTCTCCTCTGAGCCTCCTCTTCTCCAGACTGAACAATCCCAGCTCCTTCAGCTGCTCCTCATAAGACTTGTGCTCCAGACCTCTCACCAGTTTCACTGGTGAAAGATTACACATCCCAGGGCCTCAATGTCTTTTTTGTTGTGAGGGGCCCAAAACTGAAAACAGTATTCAAGATTCGGCCTCACCAGTGCTGAGTACAGAAGAATGATTATGTATACACACACACACACACCCCCCCAAAAAAGTAACAAATATAGTTAAGACAACAAAGTTCTGTCTTGTCTTACTGATCACATAAAATAAGGACTCAAGGAGGAGATCATGAGGCATCATATCACTGTTCTTAGGTAAACTCCAATCTCTAACTAGTCTTTGTAGGTGGTGTGATAGTAATGTAATGAGTTATATCCATACGCAGTCAGCATTTACTGGAAGTATGACACCACAACACAAGCTCTGTTGTAGCTCTCTGTTTGTTTTAACTGCTTTGCATACTACATGTAACATCAGCAGACCTCAGCCAGTAGCATCTGCACAAAGGTCTCCTGAATTAGTTTTTCTCAAATGATTTCATTTCTCTTAGGTGCTTTCCTTCAAAGATTTTACATAGCTGATTTTTACAAGGCTTTACGTTCCCAAACTCATCGAAGCTCTTTGAAATGTAACTTGTGGTATGAAGCTGCTTGTCTCTTGTGTATTTTCTAACTGTGCATTCAAGAGAGATACAAAGCAGTAAGTGTAGAGATGAGAGGGAAGAGAGACTCCAAGGAAGCAAAAGTTGTGAAAAGAGTTTTCTTTTCCACAGTGGAAAGGAGGGACAGGGGTGACAAGAGTAACAACTCTTTACAGTTCACAGGTCATTAAAAAAAGATAGGAAAAGAATATGAACGGAATATAGACCTTATTTTGTAACAGAAAAGAGCGATGAGGTTTCAAGTCTCTACAGTGTTTCTCAGTCGTATTTTCCCCTTGACTTTTAGTGTGGCTCAGAATATAAGACTTTGTATCACACAGCCCAGCCAGCAAATTATACATTAATATTAATACTTCTCCTCCAACAGCAGAACACGGCAAGCTAGAGCAGCTAAGAGATAGGAATTAATCCTGTGACCCTGAAGAGACAGCCAGGCCACTCTATGCCAAGGTAAGGGTCATCACAGAGTGATAAAAAGCACCAAGATAGTACCTGCCTATAACATGAAAGTCACCGCGAATCTATTTTTTCCACTTTAAACAACAAAAATGATCACAAAGCCAGAACATCACGGTATGCTAATTTTTCCAAACATCAAGAAATCCAAAATTAGTTTTATTCAGCAGTTCAATCTAGACAGTGCCCCTTGCGCTATCACACTCTTCTACTCATCCCCAACACCATCCTCTCACAGAAGTCTGAAAATCCTTTAGAGTGGACCTACTAAATTACTTAACACTTATCTTGAAGCAATTATGCATTACATAAATTTCTGTAACTTAGCTCCAGTGACATAGGGTCTATCAGCTCTCTGGTAGCAAGACAGCAAGGAATTCACTCAAGATTTTCCTGCAGGCCATCTTGAGGAACACAGAGAGGAACCATCCAGGTCACTAAACCCAACTTTCCACAACTGTGTGAAACTGTGCATGTGTATCTGCAGAACAACTAGTCCACAAGCCACAACAAACTTTAGAGTACCCTGACTAAGTAACAGAAAGGAAGCCACAGCTCCTTTCCCATGGGACACAACAGGACAGAGACTTAGATCTCTAAAACAGCTGGCAACCTTTTAAAGAGGACTTCTAGGTGACTCTAGGAAGCAGACCCTAGAGAGGCTAAGGGAGTGGAACACAAGCGAAAGCTCTGTCCTCACTGCTTTCTTCAGCAAAAGATTTTCCTTTAATTTAAACTTTGAGAAATCAAAGTAATCCTGTGCACTACACAGCTGAGAATCTTAAAGGACCAAAAAGCACCGCAGTTGTTTGTTTGTTTTCCTGTGACAAACCTCTAATATTAAAAGAAAAACATAGAAGAAAAAAAATAAGCCCAAGGACTGTATTTCATATCTTTCTGCCCCTAAAACATAAGCAACATACATAAGTATTGATTTAATATAGATTAAGACAAGCAAACAATTTTCTTCTGCATCTGCATGAAAGACAGACACATTAGGCAATCACACAGTCATAGAATCACCAAGGTTGGAAAAGACCTCCAAGATCATCCAGTCCAACCATCCACCTATCACCATTCCCACTAAACCACGTCCCTTAGTACAACATCCAAACATTTCTTGAACACCTCCAGAGATGGTAACTCCACTACCTCTCTGGGCAGCCCATTCCAGCATCTGACCACTCTTTTGTAGAAGAAATTTTTCCAATATCCAGCCTCCTCTGGTACAACTTGAGGCCATTCTCTCTAGTCCTATCACTAGTTGCACATGAAAAGTGCCACTATCCTGAAAAGACCATTATCTTGGTCTAGTATTAAATGAGGAGGTTGGTGGCCCTACATGTGGCAGGGGGGTTGGAGATTCATGATCCTTGAGGTCCCTTCCAACCCTGGCCATTCTGTGATTCTGTGAAAAGAGACTCTTACCTCAGCACAACCTCCTTTCAGGCAGTTGTACAGAGCTAATAATGTCTCCCAAGCCTCCTCTTCTCCAGACTGAACAATCCCAGAGCCCTCAGTCACTTCTCATAAGACTTGTACTCTAGATCCATCACCAGCTTTGCTGCCCTTGCCTGGAAACACTCCAGGGCCTTGATGTCTTTCTTGTAGTGAGGGGCCCAAAACTGAACTCAGTACTTGAAGTGCAGCCTCACCAGGGCTGAGTACAGAGGACCATCACTTCCCTGCTCCTCCTGGCCATGCTTTTCCTGGCACAAGTTAGGATGCCACTGGCCTTGGCCACCTGGGCACACTGTAGCTTCATGTTCAGCTGAGCATCAACCAACACCCCCAGGTCCATTTCTACGCAGTCTTCCAGCCACTCTGCCCCAAGTCTGTAGCACTGCATGGGGTTGTTGTGGCCAAAGTGCAGGACCCAGCACTTGGTCTTGTTGAACTTCATCCCATCAGCCTCAGCCCAGCCATCCAGCCTATCCAGATCCCTCTGAAAGGCCTTCCTACCCTCAGATTTATACTTCCTCTCAACCTGGTGTCATGCGCAAACTTACTGAGGGTGCACACAATCCCAGGTCATCAATAAAGATACTGAACAGGACAGGCCCCAGTACCAACACCTGGGAACACCACTCACGACCAGCTGTCAGCTAGATTTAACTCCAGTGTTCAACAGGAAATTCCAGGTATCTACAAGAGTTTTTCTATTAGTTTAAATTCCCTTACATAAGTTATCAAGCTGTACCTGTCGAGACTTAAGCTTGTTTGACCCCTTACAGGCTCATGCATCCCTCAAGAGGCACAGCAACTTGCTACAAATACAGTCCAGTTAATCATGATTAAACTGGTACAAAAGTTGCCTGATAAGGAGGAGGCAATGAGACTACATATTAAGAACTGCAAACTGATACATATGAGATTCAGGTTCGTGAGGCAAGCTATTCCCTCACAGCTATTCATAACATATTTACAAATATTAACAACAGAATGATCTCTAAATCATCTAATCCAAGTACCCCTTCCTTCTATTTCTCTTAGATCAAGTCTAGCAAATTTTGGTTAATCAAAACATCTTCTGGAAAGGCATCCAATTTATCTGAAGCCTCCAGATCAGAAAGTCTAAGTACGAATACAAAAGGATGGCCATCTTTCTGCTTTGATTCACAGAAGAAGCTCCACCTATCTAGGCTGCCAGCCACAGATTATTGTGCAGACTTCAAGAGAATCCAAAACAATTACCTGGGCTCCTTGGGCTTATCTTCCCTGAACACCCTTCCAAGCTGTCCAACTGGACCAATCTATTCAGGGATTCAGTCAGCAGTTTTGAAAGGGGATGGAGATTCCCAGCTACTCTGGACAATCTGTTTAGGTATTGCAGCTTGCTTCTGTTGCCTATCATCCTATTGTTGAGTACCTTACAGAAGAGTCAGACCCCACCTTCTCTGCACATCACAGGTAAGTAATCAAAAACAGCAGTAATATCTTTCTCCACCTTTATTTGTTACAAACCAAATAAATAGTGTGTGCTTCAGCCTCCAGACAATATCCCTGGGAAGTGCAAAACAGGACACAGTACCATCAGATGTGTTCTCACAGGTGCCAAATCAAGGGAAAGAATCAATCCCTTTAACCTTCTGGCTACACTCAGGCTGAAAAAAGCCAGGACACATTTGAGTTTACACTGTGCCCTTGCAACAAATATGATCACTTTCACTTTGTTGACCATTAGAATGCTGAAGTCCTTTCTGACAAAGTTACTTTCTACCCAGGCTCCCATCTGTCCTGTCACATGGGATTATTTCATCCAAAATTCAAAGCTTCATATTCACTTTTGCTGAACTTAATGATGTTTCTATCAATCCTTTTCTGGGAAGTCACTTTGAATACTAGCTCTAACCTCACAGTGTCAACTGAGAGTACACTCCAACTCACCTTTGATTAACAATCACGCCTAAATAATAGCCATCTTATGGAGTATTGGCTACCAGTTAATACAGAGACAAGTCTTTCTCCCATTATCTCCTTCTCTTTGTTTCTGAACACTCTAAAGTTATTAAAAGCGTTGCCCAGATTGGAGTACAATCCATCTCCACAGTTGCAGGAGATGCCAGTTGCATAAACTTGTTGTTATTTGATAAGAACACGCTCTTTACTAAGAACAGTTGTTCCAACAGATTAACAATATTTGTCTGAAAGTTTGTTCTGAAAGCTGTATTTTTATACAACAAATTTTAATAATTGCAATCTTAAAAGAAAAAAAAGTTTAAAGAACTCTCAGACTGATTGTTTATACTGAAGTATATTACCTGGTAATCTAAAGACGAAATGATCCGCTACTACGTGGCAATATCTCTTCTTTTGTATAAGAAGTCTAGACATGAAATAGAGATAGTCAACAGGACTAGCTCCATGATAAAACACAATAAGTGCTGGTCCTTCCGGAATATTTTCATCCCCATGAAGTTCATAACCTGTTAGGAGTTAAAGGCATAAAGGATATCAAAGTACAATACAATTCTATCCTAAATAAACTAATTTGCATCAAGTTGGCAAGTTGAAACCAGTATCTACTGAGAAGTGTTAGAACAAAGTGACTGCTAAAATGTCAAGAGCTGTCTTGCAGCATTTACTAAGTCGCTTTCACAGCTTCATGTTTACAAGCCTTATTTAAAGCTCTATTTAAAGAGAGAACAAAACAGAACTAACAGCCTCGCTCTCTTCGCAACTATTGCATAATTTTATCTTATTTTTTCAGTTCACTGCCTTCAAGGCTGTAGCTCTCTGAATCTATCATTCAAGATAAATCAAAATAAGGCCTGAATAGGAGTGTTGAAACACTGTGTCAAGCTATTACCTATCTTTCAAAGTCAAGTTCATTGCTGCGAGCAACTGTTTAAGGCAGTTTAACATGACAACACCCATTTATGTGTCTTTTTTAATCCCAAGGTCTGAGACTCATCTTTGTTATCTTTCTCAGAATTATACTTAGACTACTCTTCCATCACTAAGCACTAAAAGCTGTTTGGGACTTTGTATGCTTAACTGAAACACACATGAACACACACAAGTGTTTCTCATTTAGTTTATGGTGAAGAGAATATTCAGCTAACACAAAACGGCATAACACAAAACAATAAAATGAACCAGTTCAGAACACGTTTATTTATACGTTTAGTTTACACTGAACAGTTCTGTTACAGTATTGTTCTTATTTTCTAAATCCCACTCCTGAAGTAATCAGGTGTGAAAATCCTTACTCTCTGCCTCTCCCCCCTTTTTAAACTTCTGTCTGTACTTTTGGCTCCTCTCCCACTGTTCTATTTTCAATGCCTATTACAGACATACATCTACCTACCATCTGTAGGCAACCACTAACTGTGCTCCACGCTAGCTGAGCATAATCAGAGTGAGAGCTGTGACTAGCATTCGCATAATAAAGTTACAGGTATCACATACAAGGTTGAGCTTTTGTTTGGGGTTGTTTCTTCCAGNCCCCCCCCCCCCCCCTTCAGTGTTTTGAGATTTCAGGAAGTTCTTCCTGCAACACACTGATTAACCAAGTAGAAAAAAAAAAAAAAATTAAAAAAAATCACAAAGTATTTCATAATTTACTAAAAGAAGTGGAAGCAGTTGACAGGGCAGAAAGAAAAGTCATATTAGTAGATGAGGGACTGGATAAGAATCTTTTCTGTGCAAATAAAAAGTCAGATCTTATAAAAGAGAAAAAGTAACTATGAATGAAAAAAGCCAAGGCCTCAAAAAAATTTCGTATGAGAAAAGTAAATAGCTTTTCATTATGAAGTGAGAATTTTAAGCCCTTTGATGTAGCTGTTGATTTTGATCCAGTGTACTTTCTCAGATTCAAAAGTTAGATCTTAGTCTTACAAAGCCAATCTGATACAGCCGCTGCACCATCTGGTTATAAATGCCTTGACAACCCTCTTTCCTTTGACTGGAGAACAAATAGAGATGATTTTCAAGATGGATTTGTTCTTTATGTAAATTGCTCTTAAACATCTCTTTCTCCTTTAGCTGCATCTAGAATGAATGGTTCTGAAAGAAGCTTATGATTTCCTTAGAAAGAAGCCAAATCATTTATTAAGTCTATCTTCAGAAAAGATATAGTAGCAGAGGGACAAGGAGCAGAGCCCTTAGTTTTGACGTTCTTCTACTAGAGAAAGTAGTTGTCAAAAATACATAGAAAGAAAATACAAAAAGTAGGCCTCTCTGAATTGACTTGAGAGCCCAAAAGTGTTAAAGTAGTAACTAGTGAACAAACTGACACCAAGTGCCCCTTTCAGACAACACTTGGCATGATGTGAGTTACATGCAGTTAAATTACACAAACAAATGTAGAGATATTAGCTATTAGGGAACTAGTATTTAGCTCTCAGTGTTCACATATTCAATCTGAAACAGTAGCAAGAAGGTCCTTTTTCTTTTCTTTTTTTTTTTTTTTTTGCTTGCTAAATAATTCCCAAGATACAGGAAATTAAATTAATTTTTAACATTGCTATCACTTATCACTTCAGGTCCCCCATGGAAAAAGAAAATCCAGGAGTAGTTATTAAAAGTTAAAAAGAAAAAGATTGTTTTTTTTAATTGCATTTAGTTGGCTAAATGAAAGCAGTAGCAGCAAAGGAATAAAAGCATAAGACAAAACTGTACAACCAAAAGAGTCTCAATTCTTTTTTTTTTTCCCCAGGCCAGCAACAGTTGAAGAACCACTGGCAGTCAATAAACAGCAACAGCAATTAGATGTAAACTGATAATCCTCACAGACAAAGCCATAAACTGAGTGTCAGCACTTTTTAGAGAGAAATCAGATTTTGCTTACCATGCCATACTCTCCCATGTCCATCCCACAGGTTAGCCAACATTTCTTTTGCACCATACCAAACATCACCAGAATGTCCTTCATTAAATCTATTCTTCCTCCTTTTATAAATATGAAGAAGGAGAAGGGAAGTGTTGAAGCAGAACAAGAAGATAGCTACTGGAAGTATAAAAACTATTACAAGTGGAAAAAGCACCCATGAAAGGTAGACTCCATAACTCAGATAATCTTCAGTGTGTTGTACACCAGTCCATTCTCCCAATAAGTAAGCCAGGAAGGTTAAGTAGGACGTAGGCATTGGTCCTTCAGTAGAGGATTCATTGCTACCTATCATCTTCTTCTGTTTAACTAAAAGAAAAGAAGAAAATGAATAAATCCTTAAAGAAAACAGACAAACCTGTTTAATTACACAAAAAAACCTCTCTGATTCATATACCATTTACCACACAGGAATCAGAACCTGGCAGACAGCAAACGCAGCCAAGTACAAGAAATACAACATGTGAGACCTAGCAGTACTGAAGAGCAAGATTCAATTCTGTTATGTTTACCAGATTGTCATGGACGTCCCCCCAGCGTCCCACCTACTAGCTAGAAAACAATATGGAGAAGTTAATTCTGGCACAGAAACACCTTTTTAAAACTCAGAGGTGATCATACGTCTTGAAAGATAGTTCAAAGCTATGCATTCCTTCCTATTACACTTTTAATTGTTTGCAGCTTTCTCCAACCAAGACCTCATCGAGTAAGTTCCTGCCCACACATGCCAGCCTTGCAAAACGTGACTTGGCTTTCTGCATGCAATGTTAGATGCAATACCTCAAATGCAATCGCTGCAGTTTTATAAGTTTGCTTGCAATGTATGCACTAACTGGTAGCACAAATAAAAATCATTTGTTGCCAAACACGCAGGTAGTATCTATTGTACTTCTTTCCCTTAGGGACAGTCAATCCTACTCTGAAAACCCTGCTTCCTAATCCTGAAAGAATCATGAAATCATTTAGATTGGAAAGAATCCCTGGCAGTGCTAGCCCAACATTTGTCTGCCAGTGAGTCAGATTAGGTTGCTCAGGGTCATGTCCAGTCCAATCTACAACACCTTCACAGACAGAGATCCCTCAGCCAACAATCCAGCACTTGATCACTCTCATAGTGAAAATGCTTTTCTTTATTCTAGTCAGAATTTCCCTCGCTGCAATTTTTACCTGTTGCCTTGTGTCTCTTGGCTGAAAAGCATCTAGCCCCAACAATAACTACTCATTATGAAGAGCAGCAAGAACCCCTTTAAGTTCTGTAAGCTAAATGAAGGCAGCTCCCTCCACCTCTCCACAGACACCATGTGATCTGATCACCCAACACCGCTGCTGGCCCTTCTCTGGACCTCCTCCAGGCTGCCAGCACCTTTTCTTGTGCAGTAGGGCTCTAAACTGGATGTGTGGTTTTCTGAGTGATGAAAAGAGGCAACAAACACTTCCCTGATCTAATGCCACAGCTTTGCTCACATAGCGCAGCATGCAGACAGCCATCCCCACTCCTATTTGACTTAGCATCCAACAAAGGTCTCCTGTAAACTTGCTCTTCCTATAAGGAGTCCAGCATATTTTCTGAGCTCCACAGGAATATTATGTTACTGTTACACCTAACACTTTACCAGAGGTACTGGCACTGAAAAACGGATGGTTGGCACTTTCTCAATGCTCAAAAAAGTACAGGCATGCCCATCATAGATAAAGGCCCAAGGCAGTTCTTATGCGCTACTAATAGAGTCATTTTGGTCTGTCCCACTTTAGAACTGCCTAGTGTCAGCCCAGTTACAATTACAAAATCAAGTATGCTGTTTTCTTGAATCACCAGCGACATCCTCTGATTAGGTACCTCCTGGAAGCAAACAGCAACCTGCCCTCCTTGTCTGATGTGTTCTGACAGCTGTCACCACCCAAATGTAAAAACACAGAGGAGCACAACACTACAAAGCTCCAACCTCAGCGAGATCAGCAGCAGAACCCTTCTGTAATACAATCATACCCTTAAAGGCCTTGCGTTAGCTGATCCCTAACAGGTTTCCTGCCAAGCAGTGCGAGCCAAACACCTAATTTCAGTGATAACTTCTTAATGGAGCTGCTTATGGTTTCTCACTAGATGACAAAGGCACATCTCCTCCGACCACCAGACTACAGACTGAGCAACACTCCAGCACACAGACTTACGCTTAAGGCGCTGCACAGACCAGGCTAACAAACACACAGTTCTTTTCGTTGACTCCCAGGGTCTCGCTCAGACAAGCCCCTATTAAAGCTGCCTCCTGCCCCGCCAGCCACTCACAGGGAGCACCTGAGAGCAAAGCTGCCGTCAAAAACAACAGCGGCAACATAAGAGCCCAGAGACGCTGCCAACGGCACCCGCGCCCTAAAAGGACGCTGGAATATAGCGGGGCTTTTTGTTCTTGCTTGGAAACACGAAGTGGCTTCTCGTGGCGGCGGCAGCCCTGTCAGTGACTCCTCCAGCACAGAACTGGAGGAGGATCACGTTTTCTCCCAAAAGAAACCGCAGGAACCGCGCTCAGCAGCCAGAGCGACCACTTCTCGCCCGCCCACCCGCTCCCAGCCCCCCTCGATGCACGGCGGCGGCTGAAGTTGCCCCGGGCCGCACCCATCACACGGCCCGGCCCCGCAACCGCCGCTCACCTTCCCCCAGCGGCCGCGGCTCCGGCTCCGGCCCCCGATCCCTCTCGGGGCCCGCTTTTACTCCTTCGCCCACCGCCCCCGCGGAGGCCGGATGCCCGCGGGGCGGCCAGGCCGGGGCGGCTCCCCGCGGGGCGGAGACGGGAGGGGCACCGCGCCGCCGGCGGGAGCGGGGGCGAGGAGATAACAAAGGTGGCGGGAGGCGAAAAGGGAGGAACTCCGCGCCGCCGGGGAGGCGGGAGCCGCCCGGACCGCTGTCCGGCTGCAGCGTGCCGCGCTTCCGGCGGGGAGGCCGCCGCCACCGCTAGGGGGCGCCGTGATCTCCAGTCCGTGCTATCGGCGCTGAGTCGCGTGTGCGCCGTGCGCCTGGATGTGGCTGCTGTGCTGCGCTGCGCTGCGCTGCGCTGGCGCCGAGCCGTGGCGCCTCGCTTTGTGCCTTTGCTTCTGGGCTTTGTAAGCCAGCGGGAGGAACTCGGCCTCCGGCGACCTGCCGTAGGGCTTCGTGTCTCATTGCAGTTTGGAAAATGGAGTCCTCTGTGGCGTCATCGTCCTCAAGTTTGTGATGTTTCCTTCGTTACACCGCAGTACCTTGGCTTTTGTCGGCTTCTCTCCTGTTTGTAAACTCCGCTCAAGTACTGGAAGGTCACAGTGAGATCTCCCTGGAGCCTTCTCCAGACTGAACAATCCCAGCTCCCTCAGCCTGTCTTCATAGGAGAAGTGCTCCAGCCCTCTGATCATCTTCACAGCCCTCCTCTGGGCCTGCTGCAACAGCTCCACATCTTTCTTATGCTGGGAGCCCCAGGCCTGGATGCAGAGCTGCCTCTCCCCACCAAAGCTTGGAGACAGTGTTTCTCTATGAAAACCCCTTCAGATGACACAGCCTTCATGCTCCCTTGGGTCACTACCCAAAAACATGCAAGTCCCCACAGGTACCCATTGTAATGTCCACAATGAACCAGGAAAAAATATATATATATATATATTAAATAGCAGGCATACATTGAAAATATATATATATATTCAATACATATATATACACATATATATATGTTCAATGTATGCCTGCTATGTAATATGCCAGGACAGGAGTAGGAATTCAAACCACAGTCTTACATAGTCCAACCATACACCCATGAAGTAGCTTTGCCTTTAAGCATAGCTGGAGTCAAGCAGCTTTAGTTCTGATACTCTGCTTCTGAAGTCACGCACATAATTCTGTGCAGTATCTGACTGAATTTAGTATTCCTGAAACTGCAGTTTGGACATGATGTTTTCAGCATTGTTCACAAAGACCTCAGTGTCTTGCAGCCTTGGATATGATTTCTGGATCTAACTTGCATGTAAAAAAAAACAAAACAAAACAAATAAATCTAACAAATAAGGGGATATTGAAGTTACACCAGGCTTGGTTCCAGATTTACATGCTCATTTAGCTACTGTACCAGCTGGACTGAAATTTAATAATTTTCAAAACTGCACTGTTTGGCATCAACTTTCCGTAATATCATTTGGCTGCAAACTGCAGATTCTTGTCATGCTTTTTTGACTGCCTTTTACATGTACATAATTTATTGGAATTCTGAGCCGAGGTTCTGCAGTTGTGCATTTTTGTAACTTTTTGTCAAATAATATTTTTTTCAGAGTCATTTTTTTCAGTATCATGTTTGTCCCCAGTGTAGCATCTTGTAGATTGAGTACGAAATGTTAACAAACAGGATTTCCTTGCATGGTTTATTAAGCAAACTACATCAAATGAGTCATAAATATGTCTTAGGTTTTAAGGCAAGCAAAGGTCACCTGCATTTACTATTTTTCTTTTTAATGTATTACAGACAAGGTAATTTGCATTGTAGGGAAGTAATTTGATAGGCAATTAAATTGTATGAAAAGAAGCTCCTGTTTCTGCTAGTTCCTATAGTATCAGCTTCAAGTTCTAGTTTCTGTATTAGTGCAGTTCTATATTAGAATTCTTTACTGGTGAAATACTCTAACATATTTCTGAGGAAAAATGGTTTGAATTCTTTTTTCATATGAGAAAAACCAGTGTCTTATTCTGTATTCAAAACCACTTACATCTCTAAATAACATATTTGTCCATCACCTTGAGAACCCAATAAATACTCTCAAGACAATTGTATTAGAAGAAAACCTATAGAAATTATGTTTCACACACTTCAGATCAGATGCAAATAATATCGGGATGCAGTTATGAGATAGCCCAGAAAAGCCTTGACTTTCTGAACAAACTGTTAAGAGCTGTCTGATATAGAAGATCCAGGCTCAAAAACCACCTTTGAAAGATAACCACTGTTTTGGATCACATACCTTTTCTCCAAGGCTAGGAGTGCTTTATTCCAAGTTGCAGCACTGTCAGGTACCATAGCATGTGGAGTCTGAAAGGTTGTGTAACTCCCAAAATACAGGTGACTGAAGTGTATCAACTGATCATGCTAACATGAGAATTGGAGAATGGAATAGGACAGTCAGAGAATGCTGTCTCATCCTTCTGCGAAGTTTCTGTGACACAAGGAATGCTTTCAGATCCACTTACTCCTCGTAACTGTTGCTTCATCATCTGTATTCACTTTACTATTTGCTAACCCTTTCTTTTAGTTGCTTTTC